TCAAGGGAACTCAGCTAGAAGGAGCAACTCTTCAAGAGCTTGTGGAAGTTTAGATTCTAACAAATCAGTCACAAAGAAGAGTAATGACAACGATAGAAATGTTAGCAAGATAGGTGGCGAGGATGAGGGGGCTGAAGTTTCTTCACCAATTGAAAATGAGGTGCCTGACTTTGCTAGTGGATCTTACGATGATACGATAAAAAAGGGGTGTACCCAGTGCAGAGAGCTCCCGCTCTGTGCGGGGTTTGGGGAAGGGTGTCAGTGGCAAGCCTTATCCTCGCCTGTGCAATGCGAGGAGACCATGACTCAAACCCGGAACCTTCCAGTCATAGGCGGTAAGACTCTACCGCTTGCACCAGGCCCGCCCTTCATCTTACGATGATATGATGGTGGATGATTTTTCTATAGATGATAAGCTGATTCCTTCCAACACCAAAAAAGGGAAGTCTAACATGAGTTTAATGAAGAATAGGCCCAAGGAAAAATCTTTGGCCCTTGTGCCAATGAATCCAGAGAGATTGTCATGTCAAGAAATAAAGGGTGATAGTGGGGATTTTGAGAGTTTGAAAAAGATGAAAAATGAAAATGCGGGGCTGCTGAAGCAGCCTCGCGTGCAAAAATGAGGCTAATAACGTGGAATTGCCGGGGATTGGGGAACGGTCTGGCAATTTGAGGACTTCTGGATATCCAGAAGCGGGAGGCCCCTGATGTCCTTTTCCTCTCAGAAACTAAACATGATGGGAAATGGATGGAGTGATTGAGATGGAAGCTGGAAATGCCTAATTTGGTGACGGTGGATAGTAACAAATCAAGTGGTGGTCTGGCACTGTTTTGGAAAAGAGGAGTAGATGTAGGGGTTAAAAGCTTGTCGGAATACCACATTGATAGTATCATAACAGAAGATGATGGGCTACTATGGAAATTTACTGGTATTTATGGTGAGTCAAGAAATGATAAGAAGGAAAACACATGGGTAACTATGCGTGATTTGAAGGCAAAATTTGACTTGCCATGGCTGTACAACGGAGACTTTAATGAAATTTTATTTGGATGTGAGAAGGAAGGTGGCTCACAGAGAGCAAAATCAAATATGCAGAAATTTAGGATGGCACTGGAGGACTGTGATCTTCATGATCTGGGGTTTGTGGGTGATCCATTTACTTGGTGTAATAACCATTGCTCGGCTAGTAGTTTTACAAAGGAGAGGCTAGACCGAGTTGTTGCCAATAGTGCCTGGAGATCCATCTTTCCTTTGGTTAAGGTTACTAATGGAGATCCTAGACATTCAGATCACAGACCAATTATAATTGATGTGGGGAGAAGGGAATGTATGGCATGGGGGGAGCAAGTGGAGGTGTTACCAAAATTTGAAGCAAGGTGGTTGGAAGAAGAGGATTGTGAAACCAAAGTAGTGGAGACATGGAGAGGGGCAATGGAGGAAGGATGTGACTGCATAATGGCGATACAGAAGAAAGTTCTCGGGGTGTTAAAGGAGTGGGACAAAAATGTGTTGGGTGAGTTAGAGAAGAGAATTAAGAAGGTGAGAAGGGAGCTGGAGATGTGGAGGAGACAGGGAATTTCTCAAGAATCAGTAAACCGGCAACACATTTTATGTTATAAGCTCGAATGCTTGCAAGACCAGCAAAATGTTTACTGGAAGCAACGAGCTCATAACACATGGTTGTTGAAAGGTGACCGGAATACTGATTTTTTCCATGCCTTTGCCTCAAAACGGAGAAGGAAAAACCGTGTTACAAAATTAATGGATGATAATAGGAATTTTGTGGCTGGAGAGCAGTTGAAGAATTTTATTACTAATCAATATCAGAGCTTATTTATGTCTCATGTAGATTCTTCCTTTGATGAGGTGTTGAATTGTGTACACCCAAGAGTCAGCCCAGAAATGAATGAAGCCTTACTCGCTCCATTTTCTGGAGAGGAAATATGGAATGCTCTTGTGAGCATAGGTGACTTGAAAGCCCAGGGTGCAGATGGTATACCTTCTATCTTTTATAAGAAATTATGGTCTCTCATTGAATAGCGTGCTAAAAAAGAAGTTCTTGATGTCCTTGACGGTGGGCCAATACCTGATGGGTGGAATGATACAATTATTGTTCTAATTCCTAAAACTAGCTCACCAAAGATGCTGAAAGATTTACGGCCAATTAGCTTATGCAATGTTTTATATAAGCTTATCTCAAAAGTGCTTGCCAATAGGCTTAAGAATTTTTTGCCTGAGATTATTTCCCTTCTCAAAGTGCCTTTGTGCCAGGAAGGTTAATTACTGATAATGTTTTGTTAGCCTACGAATTAATTCACCACTTGAATTCTAGAAAGAGGGGGTAAAAGGGTTGGCTCCTATTAAGCTTGATATGAGTAAAACCTACGACAGAGTGGAGTGGACCTTCTTAGAAAATATGATGAGGAGGATGGGTTTTCATCATAGATGGGTGCAACTTATTATGAAATGTGTTTCCTCGGTCTCATATAAGATTAAAGTCAATGATTTCTACACTCATCGAATCATCCCTCAACGGGGTTTAAGGCAGGGTGATCCTCTTTCGCCTTACTGTTTATTTTATGTGCAGAAGGGCTTTCAGCATTGTTATAGAAAGCTGAACAGGTGGGCAAGCTTGAGGGCATTAAAATCTGCTGGGGAGCACCAAGAGTAAACCATCTTTTCTTTGCAGACGACTCATTAATTTTGATGAAAGTAAAGGCAAGTGATGCACAAGAACTAGGCCGTATCTTGGAAGTCTATGAAAGAGCTTCTGGGCAAGTAATTAATAAAGATAAATCAACAATTATATACTCACCAACATGTTAAAGATCATATGAGAACTACACCTCTCAATCTTAGAGGTTGCAACAAGTGAGCGTTATTTGGGGCTGCCGGTTTTAGTTGGAAAATTTAGGAAAAATACCTTTGAGTATATCAAGAAAAAGATCTGGTCCAGGATTCAAGGCTAGCAGGAGAAACTTTTATCGAAAGCGGGTAAGGAAATACTTATTAAGGCTGTGGCACAATCTATTCCAACCTATGCCATGTCCTGCTTTGATCTTACCAAGGGCTTGTGTGAGGAACTGAACATGATTATTGAGAAATACAGGTGGAGTCAGCAGGACAAAACAAATAAAATACATTGGCTAAGTTGGAAAAAATTGACCAGATCAAAAAAAGAAAGGTGGGCTTGGATTTCGAGACTTGCACCTATTTAATATGTTTGACAAGCGTGGAGATTAATTCCCTACCCTGATTCTCTCTGTGGGCAAGTCTTGAAGGCAAGATATTTTCCAAATTTAGATATACTACACTGTTCGCCCCAATATGGTATTTCATATACATGGAGTAGTATTTTGAAAGGGGTTGACCTACTGAAGGAGGGGATTATATGGAGAATTGGTAATGGTGAAAATGTGAGAATTTGGGAGGACCCATGGCTGCCCAAAGGGTTGACAAGAAAGCCGGCTACACCTAAGGGAACTAACCTCTTAATAAAAGTTAGTGAGCTTATCAACCCTGTAACAAGTGTATGGGATGAGCAACTTATTCGTGAAATATTTTGGCCGGAAGATGCAAATGAGATCTTAAGAATACCAATTGCTAAAAATTTGGAGGATTGGCCTGCATGGTACTTTGATGCAAAATGTTTATTTTCTGTCAAATCTTCCTACAAGGTTGCAGTGGCAAGAAGAGATACATTGGCTGGTTGGGATGCTTCTACTTTAGGGACCGTTACAGATGACAGTGATTTTGAATGGTACAGAATATGGAGACTCAATGTACCTAACAAAGTCAAAATGTTTATGTGGCGTTTTGCTCATAACAGTTTACCGGTACGAAGAAATTTAGCAAGGCGCGGAGTTGTCGTTGACACGAGGTGTCCCGTATGTACAAGGCTTGATGAGGATAGCGGGCATCTCTTTTTCAAGTGTAAGTATACTAAACTATGCTGGCGTCTAATGAATATGGAACACATTAGGATTCAATTGTTGATTTGTGTTTCGGCATGGAAAACCTGCAATATTATTTGAAAGCTAGAAAAAGATACTCAATTGAAGGTTATAATTTTTCTTTGGAGGTGGTGGTCAGCGAGGAACAAGGCCAATGACGGGGGAAGGATGTCGAATGTAGATGAAATTAATAATTCTATCAATTACTTTCAAATGGAGTTTGAAAACTAAACGTGTCCGAGAAGAAATCAATTCAAGCTACCAAAGATAATTGGAAGCCACCACCTGAGGACATATATAAAGTTAATATTGATGGAGCTTTTGATCCAAAAACAAGAACATGAGGTTGGGGCTTTGTTGTGCGAAATAATCATGGTGAGTTGCTTGCTGCAGGGGCTGGAAAGATCAACTATGCAGCTTCAGCTCTACACGCTGAGGCAATGGCGGCATACAAAGGTTTGCTTTTTTACTTCACAATGGGGCATGCCGCGCATCATCCTAGAGACATACGCTTCTGTGTTGGCCTCTGCTCTTATTGCGAATGGAATTGATCGAAGTGGTGTTGGTGGCCTCATATGACAAGCCCAACAAATAATGCGATTTGAATTTTCATCATGTGTTATCTTAAATTGTAGCAGGTGTTGTAATAAGGTGGCTGATGCTTTGGCTACTTATGGAGTCTGTATGTTATCATCTGATACTGAGTTGTTAAACAGCCAAAGCCCTGACTTTGTAAGTGAACTTGTTGCAGGCGATTTGCCTCAATGTTGTGTCTAATGAATATGTGATTTGCCTTTAAAAAAAATCAGAGCCAAGCTCGCGTATCTCATTGGGCCACGTCGCCTGTTTTTTATCGGGCGTTCGATCCCCGTGTCGAGATTGATCTAACCGTTCAACCTGACCGTCTAGCACGCTTCGCGAACCCTCTCCACGTCTTCGACGGGCGCCGCTCCTCCTTCCTAGTCTTCTCCGCGCCGCCGCCCCTCCCTGCTCCGGTCCCTCCCCCGCAGCCGGGCGAGCCAAATCCGTCCGTCCGAGAGGTAGACCTAATCGGCGGCGCGTCCTACGGCGACACAGAGGAAGTGGTGATGCGGGTGACCTGTCGTCGCGGGGCGACCTCGACCCTGCAGCCTGGGCGCGCGGGGATGCTGCGGGCGGCGCCAGGACGGCCGCGCGAGGAGGCGCCCAGACAGCAGCCATGGCGAGGGGTCCCTACCAGGGACGTATCGATGCGTGCTACTGTCGTCGCGGGGCGGCCTCGACCTTGCAGCCTGGGCGGCCGAGCCATTGGCGCCCGTCCCGCGCGGGGATGCTGCGGCCGGCGCCAGGACGACCGAGCGAGGAGGCGCCCAGGCAGCAGCCATGGTGAGAAATCACTAGCAGCGGGGCTCCTCGGAGGTATGCAAGATTCCCGTCGTGCTCTGGTCCGCGCGTACTACTGCACGCCGCAGTGCTCGGGCGCCTGCTCCACGCATTCCCGGCATGCCTCCTCCAAATGTGCACCTTACACGCCACACTGTCATTGATGTGGAGAATAAGGTGAGCATGGCTGCCATGAGGAAGAAGGCAAGTAGCACCGGCGCTGTGCAGCTTCCCCGTGCCTCTCTACTCCCTCCCACGCCGTAGAGCGTGCATCTAACGCCCCAGCAGCTGCTAGCGACATCGCCATAGACGACACCCACCATATGCTCGATCAAATGACTACAAGGTTTAGCTCTCTTTAGCGGACAATTATACTTTGCATATGAAAGGCTTCTTTATCTGATAGAAAACTTACTCTTTGATTCATTAGAATATACTAAAACACACTAAAGTTTCAGTCCATTTCTATGTTGAAACACCTCTCATGCTTAACTTGAAAGTTTATCTGGCATCACTGAGATCTTGCTCTCGGACATGCCTTTTCTTGACTAAAAAACGTTGGTCGTTGAATTTTGCAGAATGAAAAAAAAAACACTGAAGACGTGCCTGGGCAGCACCATGTTAACTAGAAGGTACAGATACTAAGTGATGCACTTCTAAAATCATTTGTGTTGATCACTTGAGATTGTGTTTAATGGCATGCTTTAAATAGTGATGACTTGTATCCTCCATGTGCTTTCAAACTCTTGTAGAGTTTCAACATCCAAGGAACTGCTTGCCTGATGAAATGGTGGTTCAGTGTATTGATTGATGAGAGGTTATCTGCCCTTGTCAACTGCATAAAGCAGCATGATTTTAGGACTTCAGCAAAAACAGCTTAGTGTTGAAAAATAACATAGCTTTTAGCTAAGCTTAGTGTTGAAAAAATAAGATAAGATAGATTTTAGGGCTAGCTTTGTTTGGAGCAACCTCAGAACATGCTTTATCTCCCTTTACTTGCAATCATCATCTTACAAGTTTGACCGAATAGTACATTGCTTCCACTGGTGAAGATAACTAGAAGACAAGGATATCTGAAACCAAGAATTACATAGCATAGTTGGACACAAATTTACTTTCGTTGTCAAAGTTCTACAAAGCAAGAGCATAAGATAAAGGGGAAAAAAATAGAAAGCAGCCAGATATACCACCTTAAAAAAACATTTTTGCTGTCGTATGAAGCTCTGATAGTCCGGCTTTCCAGTGCTTAAACGTGCACATTTTATCAATACCTATACACATCAGATAATTTCGATGATGGAACTCACAACATAAAACTCTGCAATAAATCCAGTAGTTCTGTTGCTGACAATTTCATTGTCATCGCCTTGAAGGTGTTCTTACTTCTTAGGAAGCAGTTAGTAAACGAGATGATTGTGTTCTTCGAGAAACTATACATTATTCTAACATGAAGCAAAACTAGAATACAGAGATAAGAGATTCTGCACTGAACTTTGCGGACACGATACAGTGTGATGCAATAGTGGCCGACATCCGGCAAAGGTTCTACCGAATACCCCTTTCACATCTAGGAGGTGTCGGATTGGATGATGATGCTATTACTTTAACCTCTTATCATCTCATTTATTATTTAACAAGGCCCGTGTCAAATTACTGCAGTGATCAGTGACAGTGAGGAACCCGTTGTCAGAGTGCACGCATTTTATTCAGAAGGGATGAACCTAGGTTACATGATGTGTGGGATCCCAATCCCCGACGGCAGGTACGACACGGCCAGGGCCAGTGGATGTAGACAAGTAGCTAGCCTTGTGCGCACGCAGCGAACACGACACCTCGTGAGTCGTGACTCGCCGAGGTTTGCTGCATCACGCATTCACGTAGGACAGGAAGGAAATATAAGGGCGCGTTTGGTTAGCTTCTCAGATGAGCCAGGCTGTACCTGGGCAGCCAGGCTGCAGGTAGCCAGGCCGAGCGCATGCGCATGGCCGGTGTTTGGTTATCGTACTCACAGAGCCTGGCTGTTCGGAGATTTCGTTTGGTTTTAGCATCGGCTGTCTCACTGACATGTCCCGTTTGCATGCTTGCTACGCTCGCGCGAGCTTGGCCGCGGAGGAACGAGGATTTTTGGCGTATGAGTTGAGCCTGGCTCACGAGGGAATCTTGCACCGCTTGGGACAGGCCCTAACCTCCAACCAGCCAACCAAACGCTCGGAGCTGCATCCGTAGAGCCTGGCCGGGGCGTATGCAGGTAACCAAACGCGCCCTAAGAGACGAGTGCAAGAAATGTTCAGCTTTGCTGATAACTGAAGAAATTAAAGTCACGGCGCAATACCTATACCACGCGGCGACTGGCCAATTTTTTTTAATGATTAATTGCAAATATAGCATTTGATTACAAAGAATTGCAAATCTAGTTACCAACCTATCGGCTTTTGGAGTGCCGACAGTTCTATATCGGCCTTCCAGAAGCCAACAAGTCCACGAAGCAGGCTGGCTCGTACGGCAAAGTGGGCCATATCGGCCGCGTGGGGGCCGATAGATAACTGTCGGTTATCCGCTGGCCGATAGGTCCACAGTAGCAAAATGACTAGCGTATCCTCCTGACCCCGTCCCTCTCATTCGATCGATTCCCCTCGCGGCATCGCCAGTTGCCCGCCCTACGGTTGCCATTGCCACTCCACCGCCTGGCTTAAACCCTCGTCCATCCAAACCCTTCCGCCGCCCGGTGATGGCGGCGACCACTACGGAGAAGAAGGGGCGGGCTTTGCGATAGGCGTCCCATACCTGGTAGCGCATCCTCCGCCTCCCCTCGCCGTCTCTCTCGGGAGTCTGAGTAGTGGGCGTGACTTTTTTTTTTAGGCGCTTTCGCCAGCGCGTGCTACTGTTCAGACTACTTCCCCAGCGCCCCCCCTTTCCTTTTGCTACTGCTGCGCGTGGTGCCCTGCGTGGTGAATTGGGTTAGGGATGGGATGGGGGCGTTTCAGAATAAGTACAAGAGCCAGCGGGCGAGCGAGCTATGGCCGGATGATTTGGGGGGAAAAGGTCTAAGCTTTTCGAGGTGGGATTTGGAGGGTTCTGCAAGAGGTGCTTTGCATTTTGGGCGCAAGGTTTTGCATTTCCAGGAGAAAGGATCCTAAATGGTGGGGCTGTGGGTTCTCAAGGGTTACTGAGAGACGATGCTGGGTGTTATTGCTGAACCTTATGCCCAACCTGATCACATTGTAAGAGATGGGCTCTGAAATAGATGATGCAGGCTTGCATGTGTGAGTTGCATTTCCTGTGTAATTTTGCTGGGGTACTGAGTTCTTTAGGTTTGGTGGGCTGAGTTTTGTTCTTCGATTTCTCGTAGTCTGGCTAATGATGGGGTAAAGCATTGTCATTGTTATGCATTCAATCATGTGATTCTCGATGTTTGGAAATACTTTTCATTTGATCATCAAAAAATGATTTTCTTAATTGTGTTATTAATATCTTGATGTTACCAATTGGTTCAATCTAAACTTATAACCTCAGATCATCATAGATTCAGAGTATTGTTACTTTTACTTTCACTGCAAAAAGAATGTGGATGAATTTTAAACCAAGTCTAATCATTTTCTGTACTCTGATTTATATGATAGTTTCACTACGTTTGATGGATTGATATACTTGTACAGGTGTGAGACGTGGTTCATCTAAGTCAAAGAATAATTGTTCTGTGCCTTGATTCCAAGTACACATCTTGCACAAAATGTTGTCACTAGTTCTTCGCTTCAATCTGTTGAGGAACAACATACGGACTAGCTGTCCAGTTAGGTTTCTCAAGCAACATGCTGGATTTTCATCTGGTAAATTGCTTCAACCTAAAAGCTATGAGAAACGACATTTTGCTACGAATCTTATAGGGCAGTTAGTTGGCACAAAACTGACCCAGGCTATTGTGTTCCTTCAATTCTGCCACTGTGGCTTCAGCAAACTTCTAGACATGATTAACCTGCAACTTTACTTGTCTTTGATGTTGATACTACTGGTTTTTTCCATGTAAATAATAGAATTGTTGAGTTTGCACTTCGTGACCTTTCTAGAGGAAAGGATTGCACATTTCAGACTCATTAATCCTGAACGGTCCAAGCTCAATAACATTACCACTGAATTGGTCTGCAGGCCTGATGTCCCAAGATGTGTTTCTCTTCTGTACATGTATGCTATTCTTCATCTCTCGGTCACATGAATTCACATTAGTTTATAAATGTGTCTATAAACACTGTGGTACTGAAAATAAAACATAAAATGCCTAGTGAACATTAATACAGTGTTATTCTCGGGAACTGTAAAACCCACTCAGGTCAGGTCATTGTGAAACCGCAAAGGGCTGTTGCCATTGCGGTTCGTTTTGGAAACTAGTTAACTAGCAAGAAATTTATCAACTATTAACTTTCTTTCAGTGAGATTTATGCAATTTTGGTGTGCTTGAGTTTATAGGATGTATTATCCTTTCAGCATTATTATTAGGTAAAATTCACCATGCTTTACTTGTACTTGATAGCATAACTACCCAGCACCTTGAATGCATGATAACTTGAAATAAATTGAGTAAGTACTAAATAAAATGTATCATGTTGTTTGTAACTAATGCAAATTGTTCTAATCACCTAGAGACAGTTTTCAATTGTTCATTTATTATGCGTTTTGCGTCCTTGGTAGCCTCTTCGTGTGCACGGTGGTGTCATGTTTTAGATTTTAGATTTGTTGCAAATGCATGGTTGTTTTTTTGTAAAGAATTCATCCTCTCACTGGTTTCCTTGAGATATTGTTGTTAAACCTTTTTTGTTCTGAAATCTAAGTGACATTTAGTTAGCTCATAAGAATCCATGCTACTAAAGGTCTTGTGCACCGAATACAACTGTTATGACATCACCTCACATTAGCCTTGTGGGATATACTCCTTAGTCCCAAATTTCTTCATTCCTGAACATGACTCTATCAACACAGACCATAATATGTAATCATTTATGTGAGAAAT